CGCGAGGTGGAGAGAGGGACGGAGGGAGAGAGAATTCCAAGCAGGCTCCATGCTCAGCATGGAGCCCAGGCCGGGTTTGATCCCACGACCCTGGGATAATGACCTGAGCTGAAATCAAGAGCTGGTTGCTCAACTGACTGACCCACCTAGGCACCCTTGTGATCCATTTTTAATGAAATTTTTGTGTGTGGTACGAGAAAAATCTACATTCTTTTTTTTTGCATATCCAATTATCCTGCCACCATTTGTTAAAAGAAAAACCTTTTTTAATCAAACGGTCTTGGCGTCTTTGTTGAAAACAATTGACCATTAAGTAAGACTATTTGTGAATTTTTGATAGGTTCTATGCATATTGAAACATGTTTTTCCCCCTTTTGTACCAGCACAGTATGTTGTAATAATTAAATTTTTTAAAAGTTTTATTTATTTTTGAGAGCGAGAAAAAACGAACACGTGGGGGAGGGGCAGAGGGAGAGAGACAGAGGGTCCGAAGCAGGTTCTGCACTGTCAGCAGCAAGCCTGACACAGGGCTCGAACTCTTGAACCATGACATCATGACCTGAGCCAAAGTCGGACACTCAACTGACTGAATCACCCAGGTGCCCCGGTAGTAATTTAAATAAAAAATCAAGACTTACCTAGAGAGATTTGTATTTTAGAATTAACATAAGTGCCAATATTACAGTCCTTCACTTTTTATAGGATATGGACATTTGCATAATTGTAGAAGGAAAATCTTCATTTCAAATATAGAACAGGTCTTTTCCATATTATATCCAAATTCAGGAGAGTGATTTGTGAAACAAGTATAGCACATTTTAAATTATAGCTCATGTTAAACATGATTTATAAAAAAAAATCTTTACATCTTTGTTCTGTTGTCATTTTGGCCTTCTGGTATTGACTTCTACCCAAATTTCAAATGCAAGTAATATGTGATTGATAATTGGCAGATCATACAACTTTCAGAGGATGAAAGTCCAAAGAAAAATGCTTAATTTTCTGTTTTATGCTAAGTTGCTTTTAAATATTCCCCTGGGTACCACCTATTTTGGTGTGTGAAAGAATTATTTTTTCCCCTAAAAACATCCTAACTTTAACCACATCATCTCTGTGTGAGAGAATTTATTCTTAATTTTTGTATATTTTGTATAAGTCAAATATTGAATACTATCTTGCCTGTAATATTACCAATTTGAATAATTTATCATATGGGAAATACCAAAAAGCTGTATGTCACATCCAGTATATTTGATTTGGTTCCAGTCTTGGGATGTTACCTTTGGAGGCTAAAGATTTTTTTCTTTACTTTATTGGCCAGATATAATCAAATATTAATCTTGGTCTTCTGACTTTGCTTTTTTTGTCACACATTTCCTCTTTCCATCCTCCTTTCCTTCCTTCCTTACACTTAAAAAATATTCGTAATTTGGTTTGTTAGGTTATTAGATGAATTTGTATAATCTGCAGATAATATGAATGTAACCCATTAAGTGGCAAGACTGTTTTAACAGCAAACGCTTTTGGGTGGGAATATTCAAATTCATTTTCTTGCCCTCTCAGAAACTATATACCATGCTGAATTTAACATTATCTTTATAATTATTGGGGGGTGGTGGTGGTGGTTTTCCAGAAACACGGCATTAAGCTGAACATTTTATATCAGTTATCTTATTTCCTCATCAGCTCACAAATTAGATAGCAGTATCTTTAGACTAAGGATTAGGCAAGTTGTCCCTAGGGAAGTAAAATAATTTTAATCTGCTCAGTGTCACAAGAATTGTGAATGGCAGAATGCTACTGTAAATTTTGGGCAATCTAACCACATAGCTTGAACTCTTAATCACTAGGCTGCATTACCCTGGCATCTTTATAAAAATCAACTATCGCAGGCTGCTAGAATGCCCTCGGTGGGTTTTGACATTGTAAGACTGTTCATCTCTATTTTAAAATATTGATTTGGCTGTTCTTTTTCTGAGTCTTTATATCTGCTCTTCTAATTATTCTTTCCTCATTTTGAGGTTTAAAAAAAAAAATAACCCACTGAACTCACTACTGTGGCTGGATCAAAGACTCAGAAACAAGCCTTCCTGGAACCTGGTTCGCAACCCCATGGAGCCCACCACACCAGCCCTGGACCATCTACATGAGGACTTGTAGGAGTTAAAGAAACACACCTCTGTCTTGGTTAAGCCATCTTAGGCCTCTGTGTTAACAGCCAAATTTTATATTCTACCTAATTTAGAACAATCTACTGGGTCGGGTCTTCTTTCTTTCTTGCTTTCTTTCTTTCTTTTGTTCTGTCTTTCTGTCTTTCTTTCTTTTGAGAGTGTGAACTTGGGCAGGGAAGGAACAGAGGGAGAGGGAGAGAGAGAATGTCAAGCAGGCTCCACACCCAGCTCAGAGCCTGATGTGTGGCTCAATCTCAAGACTATGAGATCATGACCTGAGCCAGAATCAAGAGTTAGACGCTTAACCAACTGAGCCACCCAAACACCCCTCCACTAGGTTATTTTATTTTATTTTATTTTATTTTATTTTTATTTTTATTTTATTTTATTTATTTTATTTATTTTATTTTTTTTTTTAATGTTTGTTTTTGAGACAGAGCATGAAAGAGGAGCAGAGAGACAGAGAGAGAATCTCAAGCAGGCTCCACACTGTCAGCACAGAGCCTGATGTGGGGCTTGAACTAATGAACTGTGAGATCATGACCTGAACTGAAATCAAGAGTCAGATGCTTAGCTGACTGAGCCACCCAGGCACCCCTCCAACTGGGTCATTTTAAACAACTGGATGCCACCTATGAATGTTCGCATTTAAATTCTGAATGTTTGCCAAAGTGATTTAATAAAAATCTGCACAGGGCAAAAACCCCAAAACTTACTACTATCACCATAGCATCCCTGTTTTCGTCCCTGTTCTTATTTCTTTATAATCTTCTATAGGCTTGAAGATTAGAAACACAAGCTTGTTAGTGTTTCTAACAGGAAAGTAAATAGGCCATGAGTGATGATAACGTAAATTATTGTATGATTTACCTTCAGATATGCACATTGTTACTGTTTTAAGATGTCATATAGAACACTTAAGATTTTTTCCAGAAGGATCAAAGACTTTATTATTGTATTTAAACATGTATCTTATATTTTTGTTTTTTGTTCTGTTTATCTTAGTGCTATGACATGATTTAAAAAAAAATTTTAACATTTATTTTTGAGAGACAGAGCGTGAGTGGGGGAGGGGCAGGGAGAGAGAGAAGGACACAGAATCTGAAACAGACTCCAGGCTTTGAGTCCAACACGGGGCCTCTGTCAGCACAGAGCCCGACACGGGGCTTGAACTCACATGGCGAGATCATGACCTGAGCTGAAGTCAGGCGCTTAACCGACTAAGCCACCCAAGCATCCCTAATTTTTGTAGATTTATTCATTTCAAGTTACATGAGATGTTTGTAAACAAGCAAAGTTTGTTTATTGGAATTGTTAATTCTAGAAATAAATGAACAGCAGGTACTTTGTAGTCACAGTTAAATCTACAAATATTTATTTTTTGCTATATGCAGTGTGCTGGGTGGGATACAAATACATATTAAGCATGGCTTATGCCTTCAAAAGGAAATAGAATACAAGCATTTGAAAAGTAAATAATTTCCAATTGAATGGATACACAAGAAACTGCTGATGACCATTAGCTCTGGCAAATAGAACTAAGGTCTGGATGTAAGAGAATATAGCTTTTTGTATTCTGAAATTTTTGCAGTGAGCTTGTTTCACAGTATAAATAAATGCTTAAAAAATAACAATAACTTTAAGCAACAATTCAATACCATGGTAGAAGCAGTTTCCCAATGATGAACTGATGAATGATACTTGTTTAAAGTGGGGGAGAAATCTCTCGGGGTGGTTAGCTTGTAGATAGAATTTGAATAGCAGGATGGATTTTATTTGAGGTTTGGAGGATGAGTGGTATAACGTTGTGATTTGTACATCTTTTATGTTACTTTCATTCACCGTTTGCAATTTGGAAATTTAAATGATCCCTTTACAAGAGTTTGATTGGGGCAGGGAAGTGAAACCCATGAGATAAATAAGGGTAAGTGAGGATGAGTTTGGTGTGTTAGAGCTCAGTGCATTGTGTACTGTCATCCTTCCTTTACTGCACCCCTTCTCTTCCTCTCCTTACTTCAGCCCATCAGTAAACTTGCCTGAGGATTAGCCCAGGTGGACCTAAACATGAAAGTGAACACCTGTCATCTGCCTTTCCGTGACTATCAGCCGTAAGTAAACCCAGCAGCTCTATGGACAGCGGGACACACTTGAATGTCGCATGTGTGAGAGGAGATTCTTTTCTTAGTCTCAAAAAAGCGCGACCAGAAAATGCTTCCTATTGCTTTGTTTCGTTTTAATGGGGTGGCAGATGTTAGTGGGAGGGGTAGTGATTTGAGTTTTGTAACTTACTGTCTAACAAAACTTTGAAAATTTGTCTTATGTGGAATTAGGCACTTTAGGTATGTTAGAGTTTCCATAAAAATTCTGTGTGGGGCTCTTGCCCTGCTATGAAGGTCTGTTCATAGGACTCATGTGAAAGAGAAAGTAGGAGGAAGAATTCCCCCTGAGGTTTAGATAAGTCATCCCAGTTTGGAAGTCCAAGCAGAGCCTGGGTTCTGTCTAAGTCTGGCAAAAGCTCTTATCTTGCTTACTTTACTCAGCATCTAAAGGGTACTCTATTTTCAGATAATTATGTTATTTATCAGTGATTGTCAGATCAGGGAGAGGTATGACAGGATTATGTGGTGGGATTTGTTCTAAATAGCTATCTTGATCCTCAAGATGCTGATGCTTGTCGGGAAAGGGAAAAGGTTGAGACAGATGTTCATGAGAAACAATGTGAGGCATCTAATAATTGATAGATTTCTTAATTCTTTATCTATTGCTGTATAACAGACCACCCCCCCCCCCCAAACTTAGCAGTTTAAAACAACAGTGACCATTTATTACCTCCCACAGGTTTGTGGGCCAGAAATTCAGGAGCCAGTTAGCAGGGCTATCCTGACTCACTGTGTCATGATGACATTGTAGACAAGACGTAGGCCTGGCTGTAGTCATCTGAAGGCTCGTTTGGGGCAGGAAGATGGCTCACTTCATAGGGCTGTTCTTAGGAGACTTTACTTCTTCCCTGATTATTGGCAGGAAGCCTTAGTCCCTACCCGTGTGCATCTTTCTGTAAGCTGTTTGAGTGTTCTCAGGATGTGGCTGCTAGTTTACCCTATATTGAATAATCCAAAAGAGGGAGCAAGGATGAAGCTGCAGTGCCCTTTATGACGTCGACTTTGAAATCATATACTGTCACTTAGGCCTTATTTTTTTCCATAGAAGGAGGTCACTAAGTCAACTCTCCCTTGAGAGGAGGGGACTTAGACTTCATGTTTCAATGGGAGGAACACTAAAGAATTTGTGGACATATTTAAAACCTAACACAGGGGATATAAAAGCAAATTGATTTCTTTTTTCTAATAATTGGCATTAAAAAATATTTTGAGTCTTCCACAGCAAGGTATTATGGATATGTATAGGTCAAAGACCCTGCCTTTTGGAATTTTATAGCCCTGGTTGAGAAAGTTAGGCATATATGTAAACAGCAAGAAACCAAGATAAAATATGATATGTTTCCAGAGTACTTGGGTATTGCTTTTTCAAATTAATTTTGCCTTATTATTGTTCCAATTTATTAACCTTAATTGGAGAGTGTTAAAAATCTTGCCTTTTCATTAAAAAACAAAAAAAGAGGGAAACCAAAAAACTGCCATTTTTGAGTATGTATTAGCTGAACTCCTTGGAGTAAACTCAGAAATTCTGTAATTTAACTACTTAATTTATCAGTTATAACAAATGTATAAAGCATAGAAGAGAAAGAGCGCATTTTGAATATACCTTATGAAATCTTTGAGTCTCAGGAGAAATAGCTGTTGTTCCTTTAATGATCCTAGTTAGCTAATTGCCAATATAAAAGAAATACAGATACCAGATGAAGGTTCTGAATACAGAGTTAATTATCCAGACTGCCAGTTTATAGATCTTTACATAATAACTACAGTCCTTTTTGTGGCTTTCTATTTAATTAAGCATTTCCTCCCAGTAAAATAGTTTCTGTTTAAATGGAGAGGCAGTATAGTGTAGCAGAAACATTGTGGGTTTGGGATTTGACAACTTTGGGCTCGAATCTTTGCTTTGTTATATATTACCTATGTGACCTTGGACCAGTATTCAATCTTTGCATCTGCTTTCCTCATTTATAAGAATAATATCTATCTCTGGGCTGTAAAGATTCAGTGGAAGTCACGTGAAAGCTTGCCCAGTGTTTCTTAGATACGCAGTAAATCTTAGTTACCTTAATTTTACTCCTTTCCCTTAAAGAACGAAAAGATAAGGCAGTGAAAGGTTTCCTTGAGGAGATATATTTAAACTAAGACCTAGTGATCCAGCCCTATCCAGGCAGTGGAAATATCGTGCAAACCCATAGGTGAAGACAAGCTTGACAGTTTAAAGAAGGAATCAAAGCTTTGTGCCTGCGCATAGTGGGAATGAGACTGCAGAGGCGGGGAGGAGCCAGATCTCAAGGCCCTTTGAGGTGGTGGCAGAATGTTTTTGTATATAATTCTGAGTTTAGTGGAAACCATTGGAGAGTTTAAATCTTGTAGGGCCATGACAATGACTTCCCAAATTTTGAGACAGCAGGCTGCATTTAATCCCAGAGAAGGGGATGATTTTTCTTTTGTTATTCAGAACCTGAGAATGTAATGTTTGTACTTGGTTTCTTTTTCTTTTCTTTTTTCTTTTTTTTTTTTTTTACTTGGTTTCAAGATTTTTTTTTCTTTTTTCAAAATCCAGTGAATAAACTTTTTTAGAGGAGATCTGTGTAGAGCTACGATCCTTTCTCAGTAAGAACTTTCAAATAACTACAGGGGTGGAGGCAGTTCTGCTTGTCCTCTGAGAATTAACAGTTCTTTCCCCCTCTGTTCCTCTTTCTTCCAGTTACTGCTACGGAAGTTAGGGATTGAACATTTGAAGTGAGTTCTGCTGTCTCCCTCTGTTGTTTTACTGTGGGTATTTTATTGTTGGCAAGCAGATTTTCTGGAATACTTTTTTTTTTTTTTAATTTTTTTTCAACGTTTATTTATTTTTGGGACAGAGAGAGACAGAGCATGAACGGGGGAGGGGCAGAGAGAGAGGGAGACACAGAATCGGAAACAGGCTCCAGGCTCTGAGCCATCAGCCCAGAGCCTGACGCGGGGCTCGAACTCACGGACCGCGAGATCGTGACCTGGCTGAAGTCGGACTCTTAACCGACTGCGCCACCCAGGCGCCCCTCTGGAATACTTTTAAGGTACTTACACTCCGATCCCCTTTTTTTCTCTTCATATTATAGCAACATTCTATTTCTGTGCATCTATCATCTGGAGTATGTAGTAGGGAATTATATGGGGGAATAGTTTATTGACCTCTTAACTTTTAAGTGACTTTAAAAGTATGGGAATTTTATTTCACAGAATAAAAAGCCTCATACTGACAAGGAGGAGCTTTTTGGAAGAGTCAGCCTTAGATGTTGACTGACACTTTAAAATAGTCAACTATTTTGACTTTCAGAATAGTCAACAGCAGAGTTAGGGATTTTGTGAAATGATTTGTGGCCAAAAAATCATGCCTGTGACTTGGATGATTTGATTAAACCAATACTGAATTATGACTTTTTAAACTACATAAAAATACATAATTTGTCTAGAGTAAGTACCATTTTTATTCACCATTTCTGCTCATGTGGATTGCCAAAGACCCTGTGGAGACAGAGATGCTCTCACTTCTCTTCCACTCTGCACTTTCCAGAAGCACTCAGGACAGGAGGCCGGATGTGTTTTCCTACTTTCTGTTAGTTATGGAGAAGGAAGTGGATAAAGATGATTAATATATATTCTTTTTTAATGTTTATTTTTGAGAGGGACAGAGCATAAGCAGTGAAGGGGCAGAAAGAGGGGGGCAGAGGATCTGAGGCAGGCTCTGAGCTGTCAGCACAGAACCCAGCGTGGGGCTCAAACTCACGAACCATGAGATCATGACCTGAGCCAAAGTCAGTTGCTTAGCCAACTGAGCCACCCAGGTGCTCCAAGATGACTAATATTTAATGAATTCTTAGTGTGTTAGATAGTGTATATCAGGTACCTTATTATTTCCTTGAATCCTTATAAATGTATTTTTTTTGAGAGAGAGAGAGTGTGCAAGTGAGCAAAAAACAGGGAGGTGGGGGGAGAGAGATAGAATGAATGAATGAATGAATGAATGAGAATCCCACGAGGGACAGAGAGAAGCAGGGCTCACCCTAATTGGGGCTTGTGTTCACCGAAGCAGGGCTCTGGGCTTGAACTCACGAACCATGAGATCGTGATCTGAGCTGAAGTCAGATGTTTAACTGACTGAGCCACCCAGGCATCCTGAATCCTTATAAACATTTTAAACATAAAAAAAAAAAAAATGTTTAGTTATTTTGAGAGAGAGAGAGAGAGAGAACGCACACGCGCAGGAGTGCATGAGCCAGGGAAGGGGCAGAGAGAGGCGAGAGAGAATCCCGAGCAGGTTCTGCGCTGTCAGCACAGAGCCCCCCCCACTTGGCTCGATCCCAGGAACCATGAGATCATGACCTGATCTCATGAGCCGATATCAAGAGTCAGATGTTTAATTGACTTGAGCCACTGAGGCTCACCTATAAACATTTTTATAACACAGGTGATATTCTCTAGAAACTGAGGCTTAAAGAATTTAAGTAACTTGCCCATAGTCACACATCTCTTAAACAGTACAGTCAAGGATTGAACCCAGGTCGAATTCTGAAGCCATGTATGTCCTCCTTCCCTTTCTTTCCCTTCCCCTTTTCCTTTTTCCTTCCCCTGCTTTTCCTCCTCTATCCTTCTTCTTCTTTGTTTTCTTCCCCTTTATTTCCTCTTTCCTCCTCTTCTGTTTCATTTCCTTCTGTTCCCCTCCTTAAAAAATATTATTACAGAAGCAGTCCAAGTACACTGTTGAAGATTATATATACTTTATATTTTATTTAAATATTAAGCAAAAGGTAATTCCTACCACTTAGAGCTTGCCTTTGTATGAAAACTTAATGTTAACTTGCTCTTTTCCCCAGCTGACTCCCTCTACAGTTCAATAAATTTTCATCTCACAATAAATTTTCATCTCATCTCATGAGCCAGTTAGTCCCAGAGTTTTCTTTGCAACTGATTTGTCCAAACCAGTATCAGACTAGTATCACACATTTCATTTACTTGTTATGTCCTTTAAGTAAGTTACCTAAATGAAGTCCTAGGAGAACAAAGTCATTGGCAACATTCAACTGAGAGAAAATTTACTTATTGACTGGTTAATCTAAATTTCTGTCACTCTTCTATTTTTCACAAATTTCCCACATGAATGACAAAGTTAAAATTAAGTTTAAATATTTTTAGATATGTCAGTTAAGTATTTTAACTATTGTAAGAATAGAAAAATGGTGATTGATGTCTGCATTTGACTGCACGGGGAGAAATCTGTTTGGAATCTGAAGATCTTTTGACCACCAAAGGGGAGAATAGGAATTGATAATCATTCTTTTTTTTTTTTTTTTCTTAATGTTTATTTTTGAGAGGAGAGAGAGAGAAACAGAGTGCCAGCTGGGGAGGGGCAGAGAGAGAGGGGTCACAGAGAATCTGAAGCAGGCTTCAGTGTCTGAGCTGGCATCTCAGGAATTTAGTTTTCTTTTTCAAACTATCCAATGGAAAATACTTGTGTTCCACAGATAAAAGGTATTACATAATCTTAAAATTATAAATAAATCAGCCAAACAGTGTTGTTATATTTCTAATAGGCTCTGAGCTGACAGCGGGGCTCGAACCCACGCGGGGCTTGAACCCACGAACCGCGAGATCATGACCTTGGCCGAAGTCGGACGCTTAACTGACTGAGCCACCCGGGTGCCCCGGGAATTAATAATCATTCTATAGTCATTTGCTAATTCCCTTCAAGTTCCCTGATATTGTCAGATGAGAGATAAAATATACTCTTGTACATTGCTACCAGAATGGTGGTTCTTCTATGCCTCATTTGGATATTTCTCAATGTAGAAGTCTTTTACAAAATACTTTGTAGAATAGGGTCACAAATTAGAACCGATTTTAATGCATCATAGACGTCATTGTGTTGGTCTTCTTTTTTAGAGTGGGTAGTGGTTGTAAGATTGTACCCAAGAGCCATATAACCTTGAGCAAGTTGCATGACCTTTTTATTTCTTAGCTTCATCTTTAAAAAAAATTTTTTTTCAACGTTTATTTATTTTTGGGACAGAGAGAGACAGAGCATGAACGGGGGAGGGGCAGAGAGAGAGGGAGACACAGAATCGGAAACAGGCTCCAGGCTCTGAGCCATCCGCCCAGAGCCCGACGTGGGGCTCGAACTCACGGACCGCGAGATCGTGACCTGGCTGAAGTCGGACGCTCAACCGACTGTGCCACCCAGGCGCCCCATTCTTAGCTTCATCCTTAAAACGGGGTGGAAATGACCTCTTTCCTTTGATTCTGAGCTGTAAGCAAAATTTTTCCCACATTCCAGGTGCCTTGAAATTAGGGTGTATTTTTGTGACTGCTGTGTCTTACTGTCAGCTAGATTATAATGGCGATGAAATTAAATGAAAATCTTTTCTTGATACTTTCTGATAAGATCATAGCATCTAGCCACTGTCATGGATTTGATGATAGTACTTACCTCAAAGAGCTCTTTCAAGGATCAATTGAATAGTTAATACACGTAAAGTACTTAGAACCTGATACCTAGTAAATGCTGTATAGGTGTAAGCTATTTTTAATATCTATTAGAAATGTAACAACAGTGTTTGGCTGATTTATTTATAATTTTAGGATTATGTAATACCTTTTATCTGTGGAACACCAGTATTTTCCACTGGATATTTTATTTATTTATTTATTTATTTATTTATTTATCCATTTCCTTGAGCTGGATATTTTTAAAAAAATTTTTTTGGGGGCACCTGGGTGGCGCAGTCGGTTAAGCGTCCGACTTCAGCCAGGTCACGATCTCGCGGTCCGTGAGTTCGAGCCCCGCATCAGGCTCTGGGCTGATGGCTCAGAGCCTGGAGCCTGTTTCCGATTCTGTGTCTCCCTCTCTCTCTGCTCCTCCCCCGTCCATGCTCTGTCTCTCTCTGTCCCAAAAATAAATAAACGTTGAAAAAAAAATTTTTTTTTAATTTTTTTTCTTTTTATTTTTTTA